ACTTCTCGGCTGGCGAGTATCGTGTCTCTGGCCCCTGTAGAGCTCGGCTTACGTAATACACCGGCCTCTGAGCCCCCTCATCCTCCCGCACCAGGACCGCGCTGACGGCCTCGTTGCAGGCGGATAGCTATAGGAATAAGGTCTCCCCCGGCTCTGGGGCTGTCAGAGATGGTAGCTCGGCCAAGTATGTTTTTAGGTCGATGAAGGCCTTCTGGCACTCCTCAGTCCAGTGGAAGTTTTTTGGCGCTTTCAGTACTCGGAAGAAGGGCAGCCCCCGGACCGCGGAGCGCGAGAGAAACCTATTCAGGGCGGCCATCCTTCCTGTTAGCCGTTGGACCTCCTTCACGCTCCTCGGAGGGGCCATGTCCATGATGGCCTGGAGTTTATCCGGGTTGGCCCGAATTCCGTCTCGGGACACCAGGAAACCGAGAAACCTTCCCGATCTGACCCCAAAAGTGCACTTCTTCGGATTTAAGCGCATCCGGCTCTTCTGTAGGATGTCCAGGACCTCCCGCAGGTCGGGTATGAGGCGCTGGTCAGTTCGACTTTTGACGATCATGTCGTCCACATAAACCTCCATGCTCCTGCCGACCTGGTTTCGGAATAGCTTGTTCACCAGGCGCTGGTAAGTTGCTCCCGCATTCTTCAATCCGAAGGGCATGGTCCTGTAGCAGTAGGTTCCCTCCTCGGTGATGAAGGAGGTCTTGTCCCGGTCCTCCCCGGCCATCTCTATCTGGTGATACCCCTTAAAGGCATCCAGAAAGCATAAAACGTCAAAGCCCACAGTAGAGTCTACTAACCTGTCAATTCGAGGCAGGGGAAAGCAGTCCTTTGGGCAGGCTTTGTTAAGGTCTGTGAAGTCTACACACATCCTCCAGGTCAGATCCTCCTTCTTGACCAGGACGGGGTTGGCCAGCCAGGTCGGGTAGTAGACCTCCAGGATAATCTTGGACTCCAACAACTTGCCGACCTCCGCCCTGATCACATCATTTCTCTCGGGGGCGAAACTCCTTTTCTTTTGCTTTACTGGCTTAAAGTGAGGGTCCACGTCGAGGTGATGGACCGCCAGGTCCGTGGGGATCCCGGGCATGTCGTCCACCGACCAGGCGAAGACCTGGGAGTATTCCCTCAACAGAGCTTTCAAACTCTCCTTCTCCTTGGCGGGCAACAGGGCTCCAATGCGGAGAATCTGATCGGGCCGATCCTCCCTTAGGGGGAACTCCTCCGTCTCATCTTGGGTGCTTAGCTGCTGGGCCTCATCCCCTGGGATGTAGGGTTCCAAACAGGTTGTCTGGGCGACCACCTTCTCATGCCCCCGAAGCGTGGCCAGGTAGCATGCCCTGGCTACCGCTGGGTCGCCGCGCACCTCGGCTACCCCCCCAGGGGTGGGGAACTTGATGCTGAGGTGGAAAGTAGAGGAGACAGCTCGGAGGGCGTTCAGGGCGGGTCTCCCCAAGAACACATTGTAGGGGGACGACTGCTTGACCACCACGAAATCAACGAGAATGGTCCGGCATCTGGGGGCCTGTCTGACGGTGACCATCAGGGTGATCATTCCCTCCGAGCTGATGGGTGGTCCGGTGAAGCCCACCAGAGGTGTCCGGACCGGGGTCAGCTGGTCATCCCTTAGTCCGAGCTCCTTGAACACGCGATAGAACATGATGTCAACCGCGCTACCCTGGTCGACATACACCTTCTTCACCCGGTAGTTATTGGTGACAATGTCTATCACAATAGCTTCATGGTTCTCGGAAGCCAAGGGAACCGCATCCCTTGGTCCGAAGGTAATCTCCTCGTCCATGCGCAGACGCTTCAAGGAGTCGTCCCCTTCGGGAGGTGGCCGCTTATTCTTCCGAGCTGCATGACTGTCCCCCCCCGTGGGGCCTCCCGCGATGGTGTTTATCACTCCCGCCAAGTTCTGGGTGTCCTGGTCGGGAGAGTGGTTCCGAGGAGCCTCACGCCGTTCTGGACGGTCGCGACGCTGTCCCTCGCGCCTGTCTCCGTAAGGGTTGCGTCCGAACTCTTGTCCTGGTCGGCGTACGAACCGACCTAGAAAGCCGCGTTGGATCAGGTCCTCGATCTCCTTACGCAGGGCCCAGCAGCCCTCCGTGTCATGTCCGACGTCACGGTGAAAGGCGCAATATCGGTCCTGGTTCCTTTTGTTCCGGGGCGTCCCCATCTTGGGCGGCCGATCTCCCAACCCTTCGGCCTCCATAACGGCCAAGATCTGAGCTCTGGGCCGTGTTAGGGGGGTGTAGGTCTTCTCTGAGAGTGGTGGCAGAGCAGGGGTCTTCTCCTTCGAGAGCCGATCAAAGACGTTTTTCTTAGCCGGGGCCTCCTTGCCCTCCAGGGGGTTGGTCCGGCCTTTACGATCTCCGATCTCCCGATCTGACTCTTTCTTTAGGCGACCCGCTTCCTCCGCGTTGGCAGCTCGTGGGCCCTGCGTAGGAGCTCTTCCAGGTTTGCGGGAGGCTTCTTGGCCAGATCGTAGAAAAGCTCCTCCACCCTGAGCCCATTTGTGAAGGCGGCCATCACCACTTTTTCGTCCTTGTCCCTGACCTGCAAGCTCTCCGCATTGAAGCGGGTCATGAAATTCCTCAGCGACTCGTCGGGCCTTTGCCTGATGGACATCAGGTGGGTTGCGTTCCTCGCGTAAACCTTCGAGGAGACGAACTGGGCTGCAAACTGCCGGGCCAGCTCGGGAAAGCTCCGTATAGATCCCGGTTTCAGTCCCTGGAACCAGAGCCGCGCCTTCCCCTTTAGGAACATTGGGAAGGTCTTGCAGCGAACCTCATCCGCGGCGGTTTGCAGGCGCATGTGCGTCAGGAATACCGAGAGGTGGTCTTCCGGGTCTGTAGAGGCATCGTACATCTCGATGCTCGGAATCTTGAACCTCCGGGGTAGGGGGTAGTCCTCTATCTCCCGGGTAAAGGGCGAGGTTGCATAGTTGTCTTCGTATGACCGGGGCCTCAAGATCTGCTCGAGTTCATCCCGAGCAGGGTCCAGATGATCGCGGGGCCGGCTTTTGACGGATCGAGCGGGGGAACGCTCGAACCCATTCCGTGTGGGCTTCCTCGGAGAGGGGTCTCTGGGTTGGCTCCTCGCGGACCTGTCGCGGGAGTACCTCTCGCTGTCCCCAACCACCGAGGCTCGGGGGCGGGGAGGAGTCCGGGGTCGCTTCCTCCTAGGGGGCTGGTCGCGCGACTCATCCTCTGAAGGATCAGGGGGTAACTCCTTCTCCTTTCCCTTGGCCTTGGAGGTCTGTGCACCCCTAGCCCCCTCTCCCTCCTTCGCCTGCCGAATTATATCCTCCAGCATGGGGAGATTCTCCGTCACGAACTGGAAGATCTGCTGCCTCCGTTCCCCTGAAAGGGCCGAGCCACCGACGCCCTGGGACGCCCCGGCCTCTTTCCGCTGGGACCCCTCACCGCCCCCAGGGCCGGCGCTCTCTGCCGTACGCTTGGATCGCGTCCGGGCCATCAACACAATCTTACTTACCTTACGATTCCCACAGACGGCGCCAACTGAAGAAGCGCAGACGCTTCCCCGAGGAGAGCTGACCTGATCAGCTCGGGGTGTCGATGGGAGAGCTGATCCAAGACCTGTAAAACAGAGAAGATGAGCTAACAGAGGGGGCCCGAGGGTTGTCCCCGAGGGCGCTCCGACGGCCAAGTTAGTTTTCCGGTGAGTAGGGTTCACGGGAAGTAGCAACTGTCCAGAGTTAATTGCCAATAATCAGCGTCCCTTGTACAGTGGATGTGTGCTATTATTTATACCTGCGAGGGAGTCCGACCTCCGCACGACGCGGGACTTGCCCGGTATAGATAGTATCCCGCACTCGGGGGGGGGACTTCCTCCGACCTCTTCGGGATGGACCTTCGCCTCCCCTGGGAGCCCTAGTCGGTACGGCCCGGGGCTGCTCCCAGGGGTCTGAGGGCCAAGGCTCAGCTCGGCCATTCCTGGGCTGCCACGTGTCTGGGCCCGGAACGGGGCCTCTGCAGGTGCTTTTATGCATTTTTAAGTTTTAATAATGTGTTTGGTGAGCACCATTGTTTAGGAGCAGAGCTTTTCGATAGTAAAGCACTTTTAGCACAAGTTCAAAATTGATATTTTTAAAATAGTTTTGTATTTAAAAAAATAAAAAAATTAACTTTAACAATTTTATTATAAATTTTGAACTAAATAAAAACATAACTATGTTTTGGAATTTTAAAATTACACATTATTATCAAATAGAGAAAAAGCTTACTCAGGTATGCACCAAACAATATGAGCAAAAGTTCTACTACTCGATATGTTTTTTTACAAGTCACCACAACCTTAAACAGTCCTTAAATATGAGTTTCTTCTTCCACTGATGTGGGTTAGTTTGCTTCTCCCACTTTATGAGTTAATTTATAGTAATATTCAACATTATAATTCCATCGAGTTTTTTCTCTCATTTTATGTGAGTTAGTTTGTATTGCGAATCACTCGCAGTGTTATAAAAAAATTAAAAAAGGAAAATGTTGGGTAATGGATCTAACGTCCTATTTTATTTTATTTTATTTTTTGAAAAAAACCACCCATACATTCATTGGCGGTGTAAAATTACCTTCGGAGGTTTCCTAGTGGACAATAATATTCCATCAAAACATAAAAATCATTTTGCTGGCAATGGCATGTCCAGAGGCAAATCTGCAAATGGCTAACGAACAAGCCGCATACATATCCATCCAAGTCGGTGGGTGAGCAATAAGAACTCGTTTATTTAATTATATTTTTCAATATAAGGAAAGAAGCAAGCGTTGTTGGAAAATCGTTATCCGTTATTGACGGTGAATTGAATTGAGCTGAATTTATTTTGGCCCCCTGCAAAACAAAGCCCTCCAAAGATTATCACAAATGGGTTCTCAAATCATGAAAATATCACCAATTGCTTCTTCTAGAGCTGCAATTTTCAATTCCACCCCTTTGCTCCCAAGAACATTCCTCCCAAAGTCAACTCCCACTATTACAGGTCTATTCAAGGCCAAGTTTAGACCTTTATCCTATCGACCACTTAAAGAAAGCGATTTGCCACCTGGGTCTGGTGCATTGGTTCACTATCAGAGCAAGAGAGGCATCAGAGGTGGGGTCGTAGCCATGACTGCTGCACCCGGATCAGTTCAGAATTCTGAGGAAGAATGGCGTGCAGTTCTTTCTCCTGAACAGTTCCGCATTCTCAGACAAAAAGGGACCGAGTATGTTTTCTTCTTCATTTTTCTTTTTTACCGGAGCTTTTGCTTTATTCCTCGAATAAATTCTTCAAACTTTCTTGTTATTCGACAATTTTTTTCCTTGTTTGGTCTGATGTCGTTCCTGGTTGTGCTTGTAGCTTTAAAGGCTGTCGTAAAATGTTTTCTGCAAGGGCCAAGGAGGCCTTGGGTTAGGAATCTTGGGATGATTTTTTTTGGGGGTTTTTGTTTTGTGGGTGGGGGGGGTGTCAATTGGATAATTCACCACCTAGGGGAAGCTAATTACAGAATTTGGTACGTCAATGGTTGACAGACTCCAAAATATGTTATACTAAGCTCTTGGTGCTTTCTGATACCAGTTATTTGGCTAAATAATCATCTACTTTAGGAAACGAACAGTGAAGGCAAAGGTGCCAGTGCAAAGTGGACAAGCATCTTCTCTATCTAAGGGATGAAGGACAATGGATAGTTGCATGAGATAAAGGGTTAAATTCTTGCAATCTTACTGTCCCATTTAATTGAAATTGTTGAACTACCCGAGGGTAAAATCTTGGCTGTGGAACCACCAATTTTCACATTGTGAAAGAATATTTCGCTCTCTGTGCAAACCGATCCTCTTGTGATGCACTACATACACTTAGGTATCGAACCTCTACTTACCATTTCCACTAATTTGTCGTATGTGTAAAAGATGGCCTCCGAAAATCACCTGTTACTGCTAATTTGTCATATGTGCAAAAGATTGCATTGGCAGGCTCCTGCATCAGACATAGCTTTGAAAGGTCCTCTAGTTTTATCTTATGACAAAGACAAAAAATACAAGTTCTTGACATGCTTGAGAAACAGACAGAATTAATCCTCTTAAGCTTCCTCTTGCAAAGGGGAAGGAACAGCAGTACCAAAGTGACAGAGAGGGCTGAGGGATGGTAAACCATAGAGAGTCGAAATAATTAAGTAAAAAATTCCTAATTGTCTTTCCCCAGCCCCATGATGGAAAACACAGATTATAGAGAGCTTAGAAGAAACATATGGTATCTTTGACAAATTGCATGGGGAAGAATTGCTCCATTCAGCCTCTCTTTTAAAGAGAAAGGGTAGAAGTAGTAATAGGATATAGTGATACATTTTATTCTTCTCTTTCTAAACACAAGGTGTAAAAATAAACAATACTGAGCATGAGAGTGACTCAAGGATTCATTTCTGTATATCATTTGATAGGTGTTATGCTGAAGCTGTAGCCAAAAAGAGCAAACGCTGCAGCTGAACAATTTTAGTGGACTGGCTTTTATGCATATACTTGTATGAATTATGACCGTGATATATAGATCCTTAGCTCGGGCTGAAAGATACTAGCTCTCCAAGCTATGCAACCTAGCTCCTTGTGCATCAGTTATTTACCTTGTTAGCGTTATTCATGCTTCCAGAGTGCAAGGGGTGAATGTTTTGACTTACTATTGCTTTATGTGATGATAATCTACTGGAGTTCTCCACAGGTATCCAGGTACAGGGGAATATGACAAGTTCTATGGTGAAGGTGTCTACAACTGTGCAGGATGTGGAACTCCCCTGTATAGGTCCACAACTAAATTTAACTCTGGATGTGGATGGCCAGCGTTCTATAAGGGCATTCCTGGTGCAATAAATCACACTGTGAGTTTCATTCTCATATTCTTGTGCTCTATCTCCGCGTTGTTATTTTTTCGAAGTATCATTCTGATGAAGTTTTCTGTGCTAATGACCATACCTGTTTGATCTTCAGCCTGACCCAGATGGAAGGAGGATAGAAATTACATGTGCTGCTTGTGGTGGGCATCTTGGTCATGTGTTTAAGGGTGAAGGATTCCCGACACCAACAGACGAGCGTCATTGTGTCAATAGCATTTCACTCAAGTTCACTCCTGCAAATTCTGATGCCAAAATATGAATCTTGTTCCTTATTCTGCGCCCTCCTTCTGCATCGTCTGTCTTAAACATAAAAGTGATTTTGATCCATTGATGGATAATGATGTTGTGCTGTTGAAATAAATATTTCTTGTTACGTTGAGGATATACTGGTTATCGATGTCATGTATGTGCGCAAGTGCAAGGGTGTCCAGAAGTGAACTTGGTTTTGGCAACAGAAATTATGGAACTAGTTATTAAGGGAAAATGATATGTGATCGTTGAATCTGCTCGTTCAATTTGAATTTACTACTGTAATATGATTAAGAAGTTTTTGTGCAGCATCCTTTAGTCATCCGCCCAGAAATCAGGTTCACTTTTGTTAATTTTATTCTTTTGTTGGTAAGAAGAGTTGGTGGTTTCATTTCATGCTGAAGAGAAAAGTTGGACATGCAGTGCAGTTGGTGTGAATTTCGGAGACCATTATATTGCCCGCTTCGATTTGCACACGAATGTGATTTGGTGTTTGAGCAAGCGACATGAATAATGTCTACTGCTCATATCATGGAATGGAAACAAGATGCCAAGTCTGTCCTGCCCGTGGCTTCGACGAAGGAGGTCCGTTTCAGGATTTGATAGAAGAGTAACAGATTTTTGCGCTGAACATGGCTGTATCAACTATCAACCAACTCGACTCGACTCGTCCAAATCTCTTGGGATTTAAATCCCTCTTGGGGTTTAATCTTGCATTTTGCAGTTAAAAGAATTCTCATAGTAGAGCAGGATGGTACAGATGTTATTAATTGTAAAAAAAAAAAAAAAGAAGCATTCTCATTGGACATTATGATTAGTGATTGAAGCATTTCAATGACTGGCATTGGTTTTATGATCAAAAACAAAAATAACAATTTACAGAGTGCAGAGGCCCCGTTCCGGGCCCAGACACGTGGCAGCCCAGGAATGGCCGAGCTGGGCCTTGACCCTCAGACCCCTGGGAGCAGCCTCGGGCCGTACTGACTAGGGCTCCCAGGGGAGGCGAAGGTCCATCCCGAAGAGGTCGGGGGAAGTCCCCCCCCGAGTGCGGGACACTATCTATACCGGGCAAGTCCCGCGTCGTGCGGAGGTCGGACTCCCTCGCAGGTATAAATAATAGCACACATCTACTGTACAAGGGACGCTGATTACTCGGCGAATACACTCTGACTAAGTTAATCCCCGTGAACCCTACTTACCGGAAAACTAACTTGACCGTCGGAGTGCCCTCGGGGACCACCTCAGGGCCCCTCTGTTAGCTCATCTTCTCTGTTTTGCAGGTCTTGGATCAGCTCTCCCATCGACACCCCGAGCTGATCCGGTCAGCTTTCCTCGGGGAAGCGTCTGCGCTTCTTCAGTTGGCGCCGTCTGTGGGAACGAAAGGTAATTGTTAGTGTTGATGGCGAGGACACGGTCCAAGCGAACAGTTGAAAGCACCGGAGCCGGGGCCGGGGAGGGGTCTCGTCGAGAGGAGAACGAAGCGGCCGGGGGCGCTGGGGGCTCGGCCCTCTCAGGAGACCGGAGACGGCAGATGCTCCAGTTCGTGACAGAGAACCTCCCCATGCTGGAGGATATAATCCGGCAGGCAAAAGGAGGAGAGGAGGCGGGGGGCGCACCAACTTCCAAAGCCCAGGGGAAGGAGAAGGAGAAGGAGTCGATCCCTGACCCTTCGGAGGATGGGTCACAGGACCAGCCCCCTAGGAGGAAACGGCCGCGGACTCCCCCTCGTCACCGAGCTTCGGTGGTCGGGGATAGCGAGAGGTACTCCCACGACCGGTCCGTGGGGAGCCGACCAAGGGACCCCTCCCCACGGAAACCTACGCGAAATGGGCCCGCACGCTCCCCCGCCCGATCTGTCAGGAGTCGCCCGCGCGACCCACCCCAGTGGCAGCCCGTCCGGGATGAGCTCGAGCAGATCCTGCGACCACAACCGTACGGGGACAACTACGCAGCCTCGCCCTTCACTCAGGAGATCGAGGACTACCCGTTACCCCGGAGGTTTAAAATCCCGAACATCGAGCTGTACGATGGTTCGACCGACCCGGAAGACCACCTCTCGGTCTTCCTGACGCACATGCGTCTGCAAAACGCCGCGGATGCCCTCCGCTGCAAGACCTTCCCCATGTTTCTCAAGGGTAAGGCGCGGCTCTGGTTTCAGGGCCTGGCACCGGGGTCTATTCAGAGTTTCACCGAGCTGGCCAGACAGTTTGCCGCCCATTTCGTTTCCTCGAAGACCTACTCGAAGAACGCGGCCCACCTGATGGCCGTTAAGCAGAAGCCGGATGAGTCCCTGAAGAACTTCATGACGCGCTTCAACACAGAGAGCCTGCAGATCAGGGATAAGGACGAAAAGGTGGTCATGGCCGCCTTCATGAACGGGTTGAGGGTAGAGGATCTCTACTACAAGCTTGTCGAACAACCTCCCAAGAACCTGGGAGAGCTCTTGACCCGGGCTCACGCCGCCGCCAATGCAGAGGAGGCCGGCCGCCTGAAACGGGAATCAGATCGGGAGTTCGGGGACAGGAAAGGACGGGCAAACCCTCCTGAATCCAAGGACGGCCAAGTCAGGAAGAACGTCTTCGACCGTCTCTCCAAGGATAGGGCACCAGCTCCGCCGCCCCTCCCAGAGAAGGCCTACACCCCTCTAACACGGCCCAGAGCCCAGATCTTGGCCGTTATGGAGGCGGAAGGGCTGGGAGATCGGCCGCCCAAGATGGGGACGCCCCGGAACAAAAGAAACCAGGATCGGTACTGCGCCTTCCACCGCGACGTCGGGCACGACACGGAGGGGTGATGGGCCCTGCGCAAGGAGATCGAGGACCTGATCCAGCGCGGTTTTCTAGGGGGGTTCGTGCGCCGACCAGGTCAGGGGCTTGGACGCAACCACTACGGAGATAGGCACGAGGGACGGAGGCGCGATCGCCCGGAGCGGCGCGACGCCCCTCGGGACTGCTCTCCCGACCGGGACACCCAGAACCTGGCGGGGGTGATAAACACCATCGCCGGAGGCCCCACGGGGGGGGACAGTCATGCGGCTCGGAAGAACAAGCGACCTCCCCCCGAGGGGGACGACTCCTTGAAGCGCTTGCGCATGGACGAGGAGATTACCTTCGGACCAAGGGATGCGGTTCCCTTGGCTTCCGGGAACCATGAAGCTATTGTGATAGACATTGTCACCAATAACTACCGGGTGAAAAAGGTGTATGTCGACCAGGGTAGTGCGGTTGACATCATGTTCTATCGCGTGTTCAAGGAGCTCGGACTAAGGGATGACCAACTGACCCCGGTTCGGACACCTCTGGTGGGCTTCACCGGACCACCCATCAGCTCGGAGGGAATGATCACCCTGATGGTCACCGTCGGACAGGCCCCCAGGTGCCGGACCATTCTCGTTGATTTCGTGGTGGTCAAGCAGTCGTCCCCCTACAATGTGTTCTTGGGGAGACCCGCCCTGAACGCCCTCCGAGCTGTCTCCTCTACTTTCCACCTCAGCATCAAGTTCCCCACCCCTGGGGGGGTAGCCGAGGTGCGCGGCGACCCAGCGGTAGCCAGGGCATGCTACCTGGCCACGCTTCGGGGGCATGAGAAGGTGGTCGCCCAGACAACCTGTTTGGAACCCTACATCCCAGGGGATGAGGCCCAGCAGCTAAGCACCCAAGATGAGACGGAGGAGTTCCCCCTAAGGGAGGATCGGCCCGATCAGATTCTCCGCATTGGAGCCCTGTTGCCCGCCAAGGAGAAGGAGAGTTTGAAAGCTCTGTTGAGGGAATACTCCCAGGTCTTCGCCTGGTCGGTGGACGACATGCCCGGGATCCCCACGGACCTGGCGGTCCATCACCTCGACGTGGACCCTCACTTTAAGCCAGTAAAGCAAAAGAAAAGGAGTTTCGCCCCCGAGAGAAATGATGTGATCAGGGCGGAGGTCGGCAAGTTGTTGGAGTCCAAGATTATCCTGGAGGTCTACTACCCGACCTGGCTGGCCAACCCCGTCCTGGTCAAGAAGGAGGACCTGACCTGGAGGATGTGTGTAGACTTCACAGACCTTAACAAAGCCTGCCCAAAGGACTGCTTTCCCCTGCCTCGAATTGACAGGTTAGTAGACTCTACTGTGGGATTTGACGTTTTATGCTTTCTGGATGCCTTTAAGGGGTATCACCAGATAGAGATGGCCGGGGAGGACCGGGACAAGACCTCTTTCATCACCGAGGAGGGAACCTACTGCTACAGGACCATGCCCTTCGGATTGAAGAATGCGGGAGCAACTTACCAGCGCCTGGTGAACAAGCTATTCCGAAACCAGGTCGGCAGGAGCATGGAGGTTTATGTGGACGACATGATCGTCAAAAGTCGAACTGACCAGCGCCTCATACCCGACCTGCGGGAGGTCCTGGACATCCTACAGAAGAGCCGGATGCGCTTAAATCCGAAGAAGTGCACTTTTGGGGTCAGATCGGGAAGGTTTCTCGGTTTCCTGGTGTCCCGAGACGGAATCCGGGCCAACCCGGATAAACTCCAGGCCATCATGGACATGGCCCCTCCGAGGAGCGTGAAGGAGGTCCAACGGCTAACAGGAAGGATGGCCGCCCTGAATAGGTTTCTCTCGCGCTCCGCGGTCCGGGGGCTGCCCTTCTTCCGAGTACTGAAAGCGCCAAAAAACTTCCACTGGACTGAGGAGTGCCAGAAGGCCTTCATCGACCTAAAAACATACTTGGCCGAGCTACCATCTCTGACAGCCCCAGAGCCGGGGGAGACCTTATTCCTATAGCTATCCGCCTGCAACGAGGCCGTCAGCGCGGTCCTGGTGCGGGAGGATGAGGGGGCTCAGAGGCCGGTGTATTACGTAAGCCGAGCTCTACAGGGGCCAGAGACACGATACTCGCCAGCCGAGAAGTTGGTCCTTGCCTTGGTACATGCGGCACGCAAGCTCCGCCCTTACTTTCAGGCTCACGGCATTGTAGTCCTGACTGACCAGCCCCTGCGTCAGATACTCACCAAGCCAGAGGTCTCGGGCAGAATGACCAAATGGGCTGTCGAGCTAGCCGAGCACGACCTCAGCTATCAGCCCCGCAAAGCCATCAAGGCCCAGGCCTTAGCGGATTTCCTTGCTGAAGGGGCTAGCTTGAGTCTAACCGAGCTAAGCCCCCAACACGAGGAGCGGCTGCCGAAGGAGCCCTGGGTGTTGTTCGTGGACGGGGCCTCCAGCAAGGAAGGAAGCGGGGCTGGTCTGCTACTCATTTCACCCACCGGGGAAGAACTGACCTACGCCCTCCGATTGGACTTCCCCGCGTCCAACAATGAGGCCGAGTACGAGGCCCTGCTCACAGGATTGCGGATAGCCCACCAGATGGGAATAACCGCGATCCAGGCCAGGAGCGACTCGCAGCTCGTCGTCCTTCAAGTCCTTGGGGAGTACGAAGCCAAGGACGAGGTTATGAAGAAGTACCTGGCCAAAGTACGAGAGGCGGTGGCCTTGTTCCAAACGTTCGAAATCGAGCGGGTGCCAAGGTCCCAGAACAAGCGGGCAGACGCCCTTTCAAAGTTGGCATCCTCCTCATTTGCCCACCTGAGCAAGGAGGTATGGGTGGAGGTGCTAAAGCAGAAAAGTATCGATCAGGTCCAGGTCCTGACTATAGACAGCTCGGCCACCTGGATGACGCCCCTCATTGACTTCCTCAGCTCGGGTGCCCTCCCCGAAAATAAAGCCGAGGCACGCCGAATCCAGCTCCGGGCTGCCAAGTACACCTACATCGGGGGTACCCTCTACAGGAGGTCGTATTTGTCCCCCTGGTTAAAGTGCGTGACTCCCGGGGAAGGTGATTACGTCCTGCGCGAAGTCCACGAAGGAATATGTGCAGCACACGTGGGATCTCGGGTGTTGGCCAAAAAGTGCCTCCTTTTGGGCTACTACTGGCCCTCTGTCTTCCGAGACGCAGCGGATCTGGTCCGGAAATGCCGAGCTTGCCAGGTACACGCCTCGTTGCGTCATCAGCCAGCTCAGGAGATGATTCCCATCCATAGTCCTTGGCCCTTCGCTCAATGGGGGATAGACCTCCTGGGTCCCTTCCCCCGAGCCCCGGGAAGATATGAGCACCTCGTGGTAGCCATAGACTACTTCACAAAATGGGTGGAAGCGGAGCCCCTGGTCTCTATCTCGGGGAAGGCAATTCAGAAATTCTTTTGGAAGAGCATAGTTTGCCGGTTTGGGATTCCGCATGCCCTGATATCCGACAACGGCCGCCAGTTCGCCGAGAACCCTTTCCGCAGCTGGTGCGCCGAGCTCGGAATCAACCAACACTTTACGTCGGTTGGCCACCCCCAGGCCAATGGCCAGGTGGAGAACGCTAACCGAACTGTCCTGCAAGGGTTGAAGGCTAGACTGGAGTCCGCCCAATCAAGTTGGCTGGATGAGCTCCCCAGTGTCCTCTGGGCTTACCGCACTACGCCCAGGACGGCTACTCACGAGACCCCGTTCTCCCTAACATACGGAGTAGAGGCCGTGGTGCCCGCGGAGGTCGGTCTTCCCTCACCCAGAACACAGAACTTCGTGGCAACATCCAACGAGGAAGAGCTTAGGTGCAACCTGGACATGCTCGAAGTCAGGCGGGAGGAAGCGGCTATTCGAATGGCTAAGTATAAAAGCCAGCTCGCTCGCTATCACAACGCCAAAGTAAAGACTATACAGTACCAGCCAGGAGACCTTGTCCTGAGAAAGAACTCGATAAGCCGGGTACACGGCTCCAACAAGCTCGACCCAAATTGGGAGGGCCCCTACAAGGTCCTTGAGGCGAGCCGAGCTGGCTATTGCAAGCTCGCTAAGATGGATGGATCTGAAGTACCTCGGACGTGGCATATCTCCAATTTGCGATTGTTTGTAGCGTAGGTAAAACCAGGATGACCAGATGCTTGCTCTCTAGGTCCGGATTTTTGTTTTCTCATTCAATCACAGCTCGTTTTCATTTTCCATTGTACTTGTTTCATTTTACAATTTTCAAACCTGCACCTTACACTAGCACATTCAGCACTCCCTCGCTCAACGTCCTAGTGGGGGGCTAGGGGTGGTGGGTGAAGTGTGAAGTGTTCGGCCCAGGAGGTCGGCAGGTGAAGTGTGAAGTGTTCGGCCCAGGAGGTCGGCACGAACGCACTTAATGCTTAAAATACTGAAGTGTGAAGTGTTCGGCCCAGGAGGTCGGCAAGAACGCACTTAATGCTTAAAGTACTCGGTCGGAAGTGCGAATTGCTCGACCTAGGAGGTCGGCAAGGACGCGCTTAATATTTAAAGCACTCAGCCCCAAGGGGGTGAGGTGTGAGGTGTTCGACCCCGGAGGTTGGCACATAGCATTGCAAGTGGGCGAGGAAAGAAGAAAATAACTTCGAAATCTTATGTATACATTGCAAGCCTATCTATTACAGAGCTTTCGAGCTGCCTATCTACCGTAAAACTTCCGAGCTGGTAATCTCCTTCGATGTCTGTTCTACCTGCTGGTGGCCCGACCGGGGTGGAAACTGAAAGTACACCTCAAGCATGTTGAGAGGCGTATGGTGAAGGCTATTCAGGAGTCCGGAAGCAGGAAACCCATTCCGTCCTGGATGGACCTCCAAGAGCATTTTCAACTGGAGCATGGTCACATCCTTACAAAAAGACAGAAAGGGCTCCTGGAGTGGCCACCGCCCTAGGCCACCGGCTCTTTTCCGGCAGCTCTGCCTGGAGACCCGTCCTCCTCCAGGGGAACCTCCTCTAGGTCTGCTCCTACGTCGGTTCGGCGGACCAGACTCTTCAAGGCATGCCCCTTCCGGTACCCATCAAAGAGCCAGTCCAGCCTATCCTCGGCCGCAGGATCGTAGTCCTTGAAGTCCGCCACGTTGAAGCCGGGTAGGTTGAGGCCCTGCACCTGGGTCAGGGCCCGCGTAGAGCCAACCTGGAGGATGGGCCGGTTGAGGAGGGCGATGTCCATCTCGAACTGATCGGAGGAGATAAACTCCCGAACAGCCTTCTTCCGCTCTCGGCTGACGGTGCCGGAGAGCTCTACGGCATGTTCCTCCTTCAGCCTGGCCGCACCAGCCCTCTCCTGGTCGAGCTCCGACCTGGTTGAGGCGAGCTGGACCTGGGCGGCATCCATCTCCTTCTCGGCCTTGTCTAATTTGGCCTTAAGGGAGCTGGCCTCCTGGAGGGCCTGGGAAAGCTTCCTCTCCACCTCCAGGTTCTTCTTCCTCAACTTCTCCAGGTCGGGAGACAGCTCGGAGAAGCGGGTAGCCAAGGCGGCACCGGCAGCGTTGGACTGGAAAAGAGAGAGCAGATCAGCATGTCACATCACTTAACCCAGACACGGGGGTGAAATTAACCCAGGGGTGATACTTACTTGGGGCTGGGCGGTGTAGTACGCGTCCAAGAGCTCGGAGGGGCTGGCCAGCTCCATCCACTTCATGTCCCTAGGAAGGACCGAGCCCACCATCAGCTCGCGAGCCACCTCGGGGAACTGGGCTCGGTCGTTGATGGAGAGTTTCCAGGGCGGACAGAAGTGGCGGGGGTCATGCATCGTGGGGGCTTGGCCTGGCTTCAGGGGAGCTACGTGGCGGAAGTGCCACAAGCTCGGGGGAGTCGACTCCTGGACTTGCTCCCCGGCAGAGCCCACGCCCAGGTGGACTGGTCCCCCGGAGACCCGCGCAAGAGGAGGAGGCTGTGAGGAGACCAGGGCGTGCCTCTTCTGCCCAGCCTGAGAGGGCTCGTCCCCTCTGCCCCTCTTCTGTCCGGCCGCCTTCTTTCTGCTGGCGGCCTGCTGGGAGGGGGATGGTTGTGATATCTCCTTCTGGGGGGCTGAGCCGCCCCCCGGGGTGGAAGACCCACCAGGGGACCCCCGAGCAGCTCCGGGCTGGGGGTCGGGAGTGGCCTCCTCGAGAGATGCGCCCAACAGCTGGGAGAGCTTCCTCACTGAAATGAACACCAGGTCAGCCAAACGAAAGACAGTAAAAGGCAAAAAAGGGAAAATCTATACGCTATGAATAAAGACAGGGACAGAGCCAGCGTTACAGGTGTCGAGTTTGGGCTGGGGGGTCGCCACTTCCCCAGAAGATCCGGACAACGTCCCCATCAGCCTTGCTGCGGAGATCTGCTCGGTAGAGATCCTGGTAACATCGAGCTTCACCTTGGAGCCCAACAGCGGGCTGAGGGTCTCGTAGCTCAGGTCCTTTGGGTAGGGGTCGGCCTTGACCCCCCCAACCTTCCACACATTGGGGGGAAAATGTGTGGATCTGACAAAGAAGAAATCCTCCTTCCAATCCTTAAGGGAGGAGGGGAGGCCGAAAAACAACTCCTGGGCCCCTTTCCCTCCCTTGGTCTGGGGGCCCCGACGGGAGAAGTAGTACCACCCCGGAAGGGAGGATTTAAGAATGAAGGCGGCTCGGAAAAGGGAGAGAGAGTAGGGGATGTCGCAGAGAAGGCAGTAAATCAGGAATCCGGTGATGATCCTGATGGAGGTAGGGTGAAGTTGGGTGATTCTGAGCCCCCAGTAGGTCAGAATATTGGTCAGAGCTGGATGGATGGGGAGACGGAGCCCTGCGATGAGCTGCTCCCTGTAGATGGCCACGAAGCCTGGGGGAGGTCGGCAGGCTCGGTCGTCGGGCCCGGCTGCCCTCGGCTCGAAGGCCGGAGGGATGGAGTACGACTCGGCCAGCTCGGCCACGTCCTGGGGCAATAGGGTGGCCTCCTGTAGGTCTGGGTAACCGTAGGAGAATTCGGGATCCTCCCCCTGCTCCGAGGTAGAGGTCCCCTCAGAGGGATCCCTGTCTTCCCCAGCTCCGCCCTGGGCCTTGCCAGGGGAATCATGGGGGGACTGGGGAGGGGAGGTGGTTGCGGCCTCTCGCTCGAGGTAGGCGTCGAGCTCAGCCGTTTCCTCTAGAGCGCGGGTAGAAAAAGGAGGGGATGAAGGAGACTGGGGTGGAGGAGAGCTCATGGTGTCAGTAGGCTCGGGCAGGTCTGAGGTGTGGAAGCGGGGACTAGAAGCAGAAGAAGGGGAAAGAGGGGGAGGAGAAGATGGTGACGAAGATGAGGGTGAAGGCGAGGAAAGAGCGATGATCCGGGGAGCTCTGCGGCGGACTGATACTATAGCAACAGAGGAGGAAGAATGATCCGACATAAAAAGTAGGAGGTAGCAGAGGGCAAAAAAGGCACTGCAGAGGGGGAAGATGAATCGCAGAAAGGACTTACTGAGAACGGCGGAAGAAGGACTGAAGGCTCGCCGGAATCTGGGCACAGGACGCGGGAGGTTGCTGGAAAATGGAAATGTGAGTGCACAGGGAGCGTGATAACTTGAAATGCACAAGAAGAAGCGGAAATGGCAAATGGGACAGATGAGAATTTGGCATCCCCTATTTATAGGGGGAAGAGTGGAGGGAAAACGGTTGCGTGAATTTGAACCGACCCCCATGTGAACGCATTTAATGCTGGTACGAAAACCGAAGAGGCGGGACAGCTGAAAGGACGCGGGCGCAGCGTCCCTGTGACAGCACTGTACCAGAAGTGACCTCGGCAGAGTAGTGCGCGGCTCTGGCCTTCCACGTGGCGGAGGTAGATTAGGTCTGCCTGACAGTCCTACCTAATCTAGGGGGCTAGTGCAGAGGCCCCGTTCCAGGCCCAGACACGTGGCAGCCCAGGAATGGCCGAGCTGGGCCTTGACCCTCAGACCCCTGGGAGCAGCCCCGGGCCGTACTGACTAGGGCTCCCAGGGGAGGCGAAGGTCCATCCCGAAGAGGTCGGGGGAAGTCCCCCCCCGAGTGCGGGACACTATCTATACCGGGCAAGTCTCGCGTCGTGCGGAGGTCGGACTCCCTCGCAGGTATAAATAATAGCACACATCTACTGTACAAGGGACGCTGATTACTCGACGAATACACTCTGACTAAGTTAATCCCCGTGAACCCTACTCACCGGAAAACTAACTTGACCGTCGGAGTGCCCTCGGGGACCACCTCAGGGCCCCTCTGTTAGCTCATCTTCTCTGTTTTGCAGGTCTTGGATCAGCTCTCCCATCGACACCCCGAGCTGATCCGGTCAGCTTTCCTCGGGGAAGCGTCTGCGCTTCTTCACAGAGCGTTGTATTTATTTGATCTCGATATATTCCTTGTTCAAGCGGCGCATATATTATTGTATCTGGTACGGTACATACTAAAGTATCCCTGCAAAAGCTTTCGAATATGCAGGAAAATGAAATTTAAATATCTTAACATATTACATTTTTAATGAGTTGATATAATAATAACGTGCCAACATATTACATTATTAGTTAAATCTCCGTCGGTATCCCGTGACCTTGTTAAGTCACCCCCTCTAGAATAGGTTAGAATAGAAATAGGATCTCTTAAAAAAAAAAAAAAAGACTCCTTTTTTTCTTTTTTGTGATTTTTTCTTTGTTTATTTATTCCCGTACAAAATTTGTACCCTTTCTATAAAAAATTCCCTTCTATCACTTACAAGTAATTACGTGGATCCCAGTCAGCAAAAACGCCAAAATACGGGAGTGGTCTGAAGATTTGACATTCACACAAACAAAACGGAAGGAGAAAGAAATGCAGGGTCTTCCAAGTTCCAAGTTCCAAGTCCAACCAGGGGAGGGGTGGTTCTGCTTCTGCCTCTCATTTCTTCAGCCTTCTTTGTCCAATTATCACTCTCTTTGTCACTCACTCACAAAAGAAAACATCCAAATTCACCTGGCCCTTTACCTTGCGCTTGCGGCCACCCATCTTCCTCCTCTTTTTTCACTAGTAGTACTGCTACGACGTAAATTAAAGTTATACTCTCAGATGTTATCCTGTATCAAAGTTGAAAGACTCACAGAACCCAAATGCTAGAATCCTAGTACTTATCTTCATCATGTTTCTTTCCTTCGT